ATATGCTATCTTTGCATATTCGGTTTTCATCATTGGGCAAAGACATTTTTTTAGAAACTATAAAGGTAATGTCTTTGCCATGCTTTGTCTAAAAGATGGGCGATCACTATATCTTCAAGCTAGGAACTTGAAAGCGGCAACAACTTCACAAATGGGGTGTGAAAATGGAGTGCAATATGATTATATTAAGTTTAAGAAAAAAAATAAAATAAAAAGAAAGGTGACAGGAGAGGTGAAACCACAAACATTTTTTTTTTTAAAAAGCACAAAATGCCTGCAATTCACATCTTAAAACAGAAGACCAAGTTCCACTTGAGAATGACACCTAGCTCTCCATGATAGAACCAAATGAAGGGGGGCACTGAGGCCTTGGACAGATAAGTTCATCACAAAAAGGGAACGAAAATCAAACTAACCAATGGTCTACACTTTGCCAAATGGCCTCGCACCATGCGATACGCATGATATGCCATGTTTCATCAAAGGCTAATGCAGCAGGCTCCAGCATTAGAAGTGTAGCATGCCCCGGGGATGATCGGTACAAGAACATGATCATGATTATGCCAAGAAGTGACAACTGACAACTAGAGCAAAGGAGGACGTGGAAGAAAAGCAAACAATGGGCCAGTCGTCAGTTTGGCTACTTCATCTCATCCAATACTTCTGGCATGCCTAAGCACCGAGAATATGGACTGTGGAGATAGCAAAACAGCACAAGTAATTTGAAGAGCTACAACCTTGCAACTGCATAGGTTAATCCCACCAAGCTGAGAACCATTTCAGCTCATTTATGCATCAATCCACACAAGTCTCATTAACATCGGAGCAAAAGCGAATCAAGCAACAAGACAGTGAATCTTGAAAATGGCCTAAAATAAATTGACACAACCGTAACAGTATCAACATATGTAGTACAATTTTTATGGTTATTAATTCATTAAAGCTCAACAAAAACAGTGGATAATAGGTGTTAGCACCAAGAAGCAAGACGAGCAACTATAATAGTAGAATTAGAATCAGAACTATGCAAGTAGTAGCGATAGTATACACGAGGCACAGGGATGAGTGATGTGTTTATTCAAAGATATATACTTCATCCAGCAAAATCATTTCTTACAACAAGTTAGTAAACCTCAGCACCCTGAATGTTTTAAAATTTGTACACTCAAAAGGAGGTCCGCAAGTCAATTCCAATTGACACACAGAAATGTTTGCTTTGCAAGAGATCTAGTCAGATCCAATGGACACACAGAAATGTTTTCTTTACAAAATAGCCCTCAGATTGACAAGTTTGTTTGATTTTTCCATCAGAAGCTAATGCAGTGGGCTTCAACGCTGGCACCAGAGCACATTCCAAAGGCTCGAGGAAGAAGAAGAAGAAGACGGCCTCCAAGCTAGCTAGCTGGGGTTCCTTGCCAGGACAAGGAGAAAGAGAGATCAATCCAAGTGCGGATAGATTTGCACTTGCAGTGCCAGTAGATGGGAGGAGGGAGAAGAGGAGGAATATGTCTGCCACGAGCATGCTTCGACACCCAGAAGACGGAGGAGCCGACACTGCATTAGCCATTCAAGGGAGCTCCGACCATGCAAACGCAAAGGAGAGACACCGTGGGGTTCAAATCCGAGCCGATCTATCTATTCATCCATCCATTCAACAGGTCAAAGGGTCATTGCCATCATCATCGGGCAAATGCAAAATCCAAATATCTGCCGCAAAAATCAGTAACAGCAAAGCAGAAAAAAAAAACTCATCTACACCACGATATCTATCAATATTATGTAGCACAGTTTTTGTGGTTATTAATTCATTAAAGCTCAACAAAAACAGTGGATAATAGGTGTTAGCACCAAGAAGCAAGACTAGCAACTATAATCGTAGAATTAGAATTAGAACTAGAACTATGCAAGTAGTAGCGATAATATACATGAGGTAGGGATAAGTGATGTGTTTATTCAAAGATAGTAAACCTCAACACCCTGAACGTTTCAAATTTGTACACTCAAAAAGAAGTCCGCAAGTCAATTCCAATTGACACACAGAAATGTTTGCTTTGCAAGAGATCCTCAAGTCAGATCCAATGGATAAGCAGAAATGTTTTCTTTGCAAAATAGCCCTCAGATTGACAAGCTCGTTTGATTTCCATCAGAAGCTAATGCAATGTAGGGTTTAGGGTTTAGGATTTAGAGAGAAGAGGAGGAGGCGATAAGCCTGCCACAAGGGTAGTCCCACTTGCCAGTAGAGTGAGTGAGCATCCGGTCCCTGAGCAGGCTTCGACACCCACAAGACGGTGGAGCCGACACTGCATTAGCCATTCAAGGGAGCTCCGACCTTGCAAACGCAAAGGAGTGACCCCGTGGAGTTCAAATCCGATCCGATCTATCTATCCATCCATCCATTCAACAGGTCAAAGGGTCATCGCCATCATCATCGGGCAAATGCAAAAATTAAAATATCTGCCGCAAAAACCAGTAACAGGAAAGCAGAAAAAAGACTCATCTACGCCGCGATCTCGATCGATGTTTCAAAACCAAGGCAAAACTGAAACAGGCCAGACGCAGAGGGAGAGAGACAAATCAACCGTGATCCCTAAAAAAAACAAATCGAACGTAGGAAGCGAGATCGGAGAACCTCCCGAGCGAAGGGGCGGGGGGTCGCTGCCGCCGGCACACCGGAGCGACGGAACCCTCCTCACGGACGGCGTGGAGGAGACGAGGGTTTCCGCCTCACCCTCACCCCGAAACCGCGCGGCGGAAAACCCTCTCATTTCCCGTGCCGCTGCTGCCCTGCCAGTGCCAGCAAAGGACTCCGGGGCCTGCTTTTTAGGCGTTGGAGGGTCGGCGCTGCTCCCGAGGAATCAGAAGGCCACGCCGCGTAAACGGGCCGCATCTTCTTCCAAGCGGCTGCGGGCGGAGGCATTGTAGGGCTGACGGTTATGGGCCAAATAATAGCCCGTGAACCCGTTCATTAGAGATGGGCCATGGTTGTTACGAGGCCGCCTCGTCGCTGCTGGCTTTCCAATTTTATGGGCCACAGGCCACGGCATTCCCTGACCAAATAGAACCTCATATAGAACTATAAGGCCCACAAGGTCACGTCTCACAAACGCAAGAACAGCGTGGAAACGATTTAGGGCAGTCTCAGCCTGAAACCACGGATAGTTTCCATAACATTAAATACCCTGTGAACTAGGCAAAAGAAAAAAACTGACGTGGCACCTAAGTTAAGGAAGAGAGAGAAGAACAGTAGAAACCGCTTCTCACATGAGAAACGACGTCCTCTCGTGGCCCAAGACCGATGGAAACTATCTCTCTTCTTGAACTTGTTTGCTTTATAAGTTGTACTTTTTTAGCCAACGAATATTATTTTTTTTTACACTAAATTAATCAACCATACTTTCAGCTAGGGTTTATCAGCCAAACAAGCTCAAACGAATAGGGCGTATGTTTTTCTGCGTTGTTGTCGTTGTTTCCTCAGCCCTATGACCACCTCCCTCCCGAATCCCATGCGCAGGCTCCTTTCCCAACTCAAGCCGCCCTCTTTTCTCAAGGCTTCATCGCTTCCCCATATGCGCTCGCCAAATTGTGGTTTCCTTCCCTCATACTTCTACTCACTCCTCATCAGGCAAGATGTCAGACTACTTGAGCCTAAGCACATCCAGGGGTTTCGTCTGATGTGAGCCAGGATCTTGCAAAGAAGATGGTATTCTATGTAAAAAAATTATAATGCAAATATACACAAGTGCTAGATTTCTCCCACAATATAAATATGCTAGTGCTAGCATAGTTCTTTTTCATGTACATTACAATTTACAAACAAAATTTTTAAAAAAAAATTATTTCTAGAATTTCATCATGAAACTAAACAAAGTAGCACGTAAATAGCATGGACAAAAAAAATTTGTTACAAATTTCGTCCCAAAGAAAACCACGTGTAGAAACCATACTCTCCAATGCAGTATTTTTTAGTGGGTCCAGCTAGAGAAATTGCACCAATCGTTCGCCTCTCCTCAAGCAATTCCTCCAAATCCCGTGTGTCGAGTCTGCGTGTGGCGGCGGCGGCGGCGCGGCGCCCTCGGTGGGTGGCCGAGCTGGGCAGCGGTGAAGCGCGAGGTCCGGCAACGCGTGCTAGCTTGCTTGCTGGGCGGGCGTTCCTGCTTGCTGGGTGGCCGAGCTGGGCAGCAGCGGACGCGAGGTCCGGCGAGGCGGCGGCGGGCCCGGCGAGGCTTCGTGGCTAGCGCGCGAGGTCCGGCGAAGCGTCACGGTCAGGACGCGAGATCCGGCGACGCGTCACGGGCTAGTCGCGAGGTGCGAGCTCCGCCCGGCGTCCGCGCGTGGGAGCTTAGCGCCGGCGTCCGCGCGTGGGAGCTCCGCGCGGCGTCCTCCTGTGCGACTGCGAGCTCCGCGCCGACGTCCGCGTGAGCGAGCTCCCACCGGCGGCCAGGCGAGTTCTCACGGACCGACGGCGCATGGGAGATGGAAACGATGCGGATCTCCCAACGCGAAAACTCGCGCCCTAGTATCGCGCGTAGACGTCGTTTCTAAGGGCCTTGTGGCACGGCTTATGCCGGCTTCGGCTTTATCTATTTTGCGTAAATCGAGGCACTGTAGCGTGAAGCCATTTTGTAAGTCAGGGTTAAAATGAACTAGAAGCCGAGAAAAGACAGTTTTTCTGGCTTCATCGGCTTTGGCTTCACTGGTGAAGCTGTTTTGGATGAGCCGTGCCAAAGGGGGCTTAAATAAGAAACTGTTTCCTTCTCTTTCCACGTTAGATTGCCTTTCACGTTATTAAAATGTTGATGTGGCTTTATAATAAATAAAGATAGAAACTTTTGTATTGGGAGTTCTCTTAAACTCCTTAGAGTCTGTTTGGAACGTTGCTAAATTTTTTGTTCTAGCTTTTCTTTAGACAATTGATATCTGTCAACAGGTTGTTTTAGCCGGTTCCAACACCGAATCACCCATACCACTATGTGGAGAGTTCCAGCCATCGATTGGTCGCTCTAGCAGACGCCCTTGGTGTTCCCGTCGACGAGCGGCACACTTCGGCGCACCAGCACGACGGCCTCCCGCTTGATGACCCTAGCCGACGCCTCCTCGCCAGAGCCCCTAGCGGGAGGTCCCTGCTCGATCGTGACCCACATCCTCGGGATGGGCCCGCCCTTGGCCGCGTGGTCGAGCTCCTCCAGCGCCATCAGCACGTCAGACAGGAACCGCTCGCCCTACGACCGGCCGAAGTCCTCCCGGTGGGCATCCCCGGCGCTCCTCCAGTCAGGCACTGAAGGGAAGGGAAGGGAAGCGATAAGGTTGGGAAGTAGGTCCCTCCACAATTTGTGAATGACTTGTAATTTTTTCTGAAATTTGTGAATAATTTTTATATTTTTTTGAAAAATTTGGCATATATGTCTCTGAGACCTGCAATCCATAGAAATACCTAAATTACATCACTATGTCCAAAAAAATACACTGCAGAAATCATTGTAAATATATCAATAAAACAATGTAAATATAGCTATAAGATAGTGTAAGTGCATGTGCAAAATTTAGTTATTAGGAGGAGCTAAAACATTCGGTCGTTGTCTAGACATATTTGTTTTTATGAAATTTCTGCGTGGTTTTGGTAAAATTTCTACGTTTCAAAAAGGCCCGTAACTTTTGTGGTAGTCCGATTTCTAATAAAACTGAATTTTTAACCTCTCTTAACTTTTAAAGCCATTTAGTTTTCACTCTAAGTGGTTTTGTACCGGGGTTTTGTTTCACGTGGCGTCATATCAGCCATGAAAAAATTAAATTAAACTTTTTAGATAGTTTAGGAAGGTAAATTGAAGGAACACTATTTTAAAAACTTAAAAACTTATGCAATTTAAAAATCCTAAAATCTGATTAATCTAGAAAATTTATACAAACTTTACTTTAGCTTAGAAAAATAAAAAAACTAGTTTTGTTTTCCCAAAATCGTGCTCTATTTTATGGTGACTAAATTAAAACTATTTAAGTCTTCTGTAGACTCATTTTGCTTTTTACTGGTTGCAAAGGCTCTCATGTCTATTATAATTATTAGACTACAATGACGACTCAAAGATTTTTTTTTCATCCAACTCAAGCAAGAATGAATATGAAAAAGTTAGCATCCCATCATGGTGATATGATCACCAAGGCACCATCTTTTCTGCTATTCCTATCGTCTCCATGGTCCATCGTTCATATTATGATATACGTGGATGCAACGTATAGATATAAATAATCAACGATAGTTGAAACTCTTAGAAATTCGATTACGCCTCACAAGCTAACGATATAGCTCTAACGTGCTAGTCTACGTTACCAAGTCGTCAAGTAAGGCTTATTCCCGGAAAATATTTTCGTTCTACAAACCCCCAATTAATTTTGACATTTGATCAATTAAATAAATATTTCCATACTAGTGTTCATTTAGTTACCTTAACAAACTAATTTCTATGGAGCTACAAAAATTACAATGAGCACCTAATATTGCTAGAAATCTGTTGTAAAAATTTTAGAGCCAACACTATCACCAATTTATTACAAAAATTCATATAAGTTTATATTTTAACAATAATAAGTATCTCAATTTAATTATATAACTCCTAAGAATATTATAAAACTATATGAACAACATATACTAGTAGATAGATCATGATTTTAGGAGTCCAACAAAATTAGTTTCATAATTTTTGGACAACTACACAAATTTATATTGATTTTACAAGTTTACCTTAGAAATAAATTAGAAAATGCTTTAGAAAACGATAAGGGCCGGCGGCAACCAATTTGGCCCAGCAGCCCAGCGCAGCCCGCGCGGTGCGCAGCCGCTCGCCAGCAGGCCAGCCCAACCGGCCCGCTGCGTGAGCGCACCGGCATGTTTTGCAAACGAGTCCCTGTGTTTTGGGATAATCAGCGTCGCCACGAAACACTATTGCAGTACACTCGAACTTTGCATCAAGCACCCTGGATTAAATCGCCTTCACAACTAGGCGGTCCCTGGCGCCGCCGCGCATGACAGCACAACTCTGGCCGGCACTGCACACCTATGCCGGTCCACAGAGCGAGGCACCAGCTAACCCAGCAAGCCGACGAGCATCGTGGGGCCAAGCCGAACTCCTCGACGGCAGTTGGGAGATAGACAATGACCCTAATGCGTTGTCCGCACTATCGAGCCACCCGTCATGGTGGCGCGAGTGTTTCGGCGATCTAGGGTACTAACAGAGAGGTAGAGGTGGTGGGGAGTAGTAGGGGCTCACCGCAGTCCGCGTTGTGGTGGCGATTGAGGCAGAGGAGGACCAAGATGACCTAGCCATGTGCGCGCAAGCACGGTGGCGTCGCTTCGTGGCAGACATGGCGCGTCACCACGCCGTCGACGAGCGCCCTGGCCAAAAGAAGACTAGCACCAGCCCTAGGGGGTAAGACAAGCTCAGAAACACCATCAATCGATCCTTTACCTATGGGTTTGGGCTTACCCCCTAAATCCCTGGCCGCGGCGGTGCTCAAGGCCAATGGCGAGGGAAATGCCAATTTGGTGGTTAGGGGCACACGATTGCCTCTGATTCAATGCGGAGAGCTAACTGGCTACTTGTAGGTGCAAGTAATTGAACTACAACGCACTGTGCATGGCGAATCAGGGACTGCTGCGGCTGGGTCCCACATCGGCTAGTCGTTTCCATCGACGATGATGGCTCGTGGGGCACGATTCGTTGGTAGCGGCTAGTCGAAAAGGACAAGAGGGACGAGGGATGGTGATTGAGCCCGTCACGTAGAGGCGGGGCCAGCAGTGGCTGCCTTTACTCGCTGATCGGACGTGGCGCGTGCGGCCAAGACGAGCGCCATCGTGAGACAGCAATAGCGCGGGCGCAGCGGCTCAGCACACAGCAACCGCACATAGCATGCAGTGTTGTGACGTGCATAAGTATGGCAGGTTGCATGGCGTTGGCTAAGCACGGGTCCGACGAGACACGACACAACGTAGACAATGGCGACTCAGCGTGACTATGCACGTGCGCTCAACAACGCTGCAGCGAGGCAACAACGACGCACGACAAAGGTAGGCAGCGGCAGTCAGCCGGGTTGCAGCCGGTCGAGACCGGCCAATGCCACGGCGTGCTTGGCCGCAGCTGGCCAGCACTCGACGGGCGCGGTGACTGCGCCCACAGGGCCAAACGACCGAGACGGTGCAAAGCACAGTTATTAAAGCAGCCTAAAAACTACTCTTCGATTGAGCGGAGGCTCAACCAATTCCATGGCCCTAAAGTCGACACTAACGGTTAGCTAGATGAGCAACCCATACAACTAGAGGATGACCAGAGAGGAAGATAGTGAGGCACCAAAATAGGTCAGTCGCGTTGGACGCTAGTTCACAAACCGAGTGCCCCCAGCATGGTTACAGCACCACTTCCAAATTTTGCCGATTCAACGAAAAGGGCTAATTTTAATTTCCAATTTGATTTTTGAGCTTCCAAAAACACTAATTAACAACCTTTGTTTCCCAAAAGTTAATGTTGCATTTCCATCTTCCCAACTTGTTCTTCAATTTTTATTTAAGTACTAAATACAAGTTATGTTTTATTCTTGTTTATAGGAATTGCTTTTTGTGCCAAACAATTAAATCTACTTTTCTTATTTTCTTGTTAGAATTTTTATTATCACATTTGATTAAACTAACTCACTATACTTATAGATTAATTTCTCAGGCCATAATCTCATTACTTAGCGAGCTTGTAACACTAGAGGTGTTACAACCAACCTCCCCTTAAAAAGAATCTCATCCCGAGATTCGGAGCAAGAACACAAAAGGGGGCAAATGTGGTTATACTTCGTAGATCAAAAATTACGCGAAAGATTACATGACTTCGAACACTAAAACACACGGGGATTCAGGGATACACGGTTAAGAGCAACCTAGTACAACCAAGGTTCAATCTAGAAGTCGGGATAGACAAGGACAATAGAGAAACAGCAAGAAAATGATTATCCAAAACATGGCGTATGTCCAACAGATCTAGAAACAAGAGACTGAGAACTCAAACATCGTGAACCCTAAGACCAACTAACCAAAGAGACCTTGAACTTCTTTGACAGAAATCCATATCCCTTCTTCCCGGATTACGCCATCACCTCTGACTAACGACCTAGTTCTTCGGATGATGACTGGATCTCATAGCTCTGCTTTGAATTCGAGGGGATAGGGATGAGGAAGGTGAGCAAGGACCAAGGGCATCTTATAGTGGTGAACGGAGGTGGGACACAATGCACCGAAAGTGGAGACGGCGTGGAATACACTGACAGTTCATGATGTGGGGATAAAGTCGGCCATGGTGTGCTTCCTACACGAGCAGCAGAGGGAGGATAAGGAGAGGAGAGGAGAGGGGTTCGCTCGACGAGGAAGGTGTGCGGCAGCCGTGTCCCTAATAGAAGAAAAGTAGAGGCGAAGGGGGGTCCGGTATGGGGACGAGAGCGAGAATCGAGAGCCAACAGGATGCCAAGAAAAAGGGAAAGCGCTCAGTACAGGAGGACGGCTAGTGCGGCACGATGTCACGGCTATGCAAGAACAGGGTGCCAATGGTCCTGACACAGACGGCGTCGGCAGGGCATGCGACAAAAGTGACCGGTATGCACAGCGTGGTCTGCATGGATACAGAGCTTAGGACTTGACGTCCGCTTAGACTTTTCCAAGTACTCCCTACTACCCGAAGCTAACTTTTTCCTTCTTGCTCTTCTATTTCCTTCTCTTCCTCGTTCACCATATGCGCCAACCTTTGGTATGAACTGAAATCGTGATATACGTGCTTCCTCCAAAACCACATTCTCTTGTTTTCTAGAGAGAACACTATTTCATCAACCCGTCGTGGACTTCCCGTTTGAACACTTGAATATTTTCAAGAAGAATATTTTGTATCAAAAGTGGTATGATGGTGTAACTTGGTAAAGGTACTTGGTCAACAACCTTGATACCAGCACATGCCGAGCAGCATCACCATGTGATAGCTGTTCCACAGGGGCCCTCGGTTTCATTGCGGCATCATAAGCTATTAACCAGGCAACTACTACCAACTTACACACAATGAAGGCGGTAGGGTCATAGACCACAGAATAAGAGGAGTATTGCAAGGGAAGATTCAAACAACAAGGGTTTCTTTTGCAACAAGGGACAAGGAATTCAAATCCAATGATGGATTTGATT